GCTAAGGGAAAATGCTGGTATTTTTCCTCTGCAGTGTTCCAAGGTACGCCTTGGCTGGTAATCTCTGTGCAGAGTGGAATGAGTCAGGAGTCTGAGTCACTTTACCAAAATGCATTACATGTGTTCTATTCCAGGTTTCAAATAGCAGAGTGTCTGGTCATGAGAGGCCTGGGTTGAGAGAGAGCACAGCAAAACCCCAGAGAGTACAGATTCCCCTGGACTCCAGCTCCAAACAAAATTTCAAGAGCTGATAATCTTCATTCTTCCCGATTTGAAATAAAAAAATGTGGGAGCAATAGATGAAATGTGCTTAATAGTAACAGGTTCATTCAACAAACTTGTCATAAATTATTTTTTTTCTTTAAGTTGATTGGAAAATGTCTACTTTTATTAATAGTATAGTTTATGGATTGATTTGTGCTCCCCTCCCCCAAATTTATATGTTGAAGTCCTAAGCTCCAGTAGCTCTGAATACGAATTTATCTGGAAATAGGTCATTGCAGATATAATAGGTAAGATGAGGTTATTGGAGATAATACATTTCTGTTATTTAATTCATCCAGTTTGTGGTGCTTTTTTATGGCAGCCCAAGCAAACTGATATAGTATATATTCAGGAATAAATCATTATGTGATTGATCAAAATAAAAGGTGATCATATCAGTGCCTGGTTATCGTTCTTCCTGAGGAAGGAGGCTAATGACTTATAGTCTTTGGGGAGGTACTTAAAGAAGGTGTAATAACATATGGTGTTAGCAAGAGAATCACTAATGTGATGTTGCCATGAGCGACCTCAGTTACTTCAGTGGTACCTTAGAAAAGTAAAATTTATCCCTTCCCCATAACATCTTAATATACAGTTTTCTAGGGCATAAAGTAGATCCAGGATCTATCACAACTTCATTTCTGTTGGTAAAAGCAAAGTTTGTTCCAACTGTGAACATGGTTTGATGTTCATAAATTCTTACTATCTTTCTGATCAAGACTTTATTATTTTTTAATTTTTAATATGAATTTTGATTTGGCAACCTTTGTTTCTCTCTACTGGTTCTACTAAAATGAAGGATTAGAATTGAACCCACATCACTTGCATTTCTCTTCTAATAATTGAATTGCCAAGCAATGAACAGGGCACAAAGGATCAGGAACAATGATAATAGATGATGTGGATTTAGTATGTGGTATGCATAAGCCCTATAGGACAAATGCAGACTCAGAATGACTGTAGGCCATGTGAAATGGGACTTTGGTCTTTTCTCTTTATTTTTAAAGTGAGTTAATATTAGTTTACATCGTTATTTGTGTTTTAGAGATATAGGCAGGTGTTGTTACCGCACCACATCCGCCACCAAGGCACTGACAGTCCATCCCCATAGTCCCTTGTGCCCCTTCCCTACTTTGTTCTCAACCTCCCCCTCCCCCTCTGGTAGCCTGAGTTCTAGAGTCAGCTTTCTAGGGTTTGTTGTTAGCTTGGCTTATCTGACAATTTGGTTTCTCTATATCCCACATATAAGTGACACCATTAGGTATTTGTACTTCTCTTTCTGACTTATTTCACTTAGCATTAGCCCCTCCAGCTCCATACATATTGCTGCAGATGGCAAGAATTTGTTGCTTTTGATAGCTAAGTGGTAGTCCATCATATACATACACCTTATCTTCCTGAGCTACTTGTCCTTATTTGGGCAGTTAGATCGATTTCATAGTTTGTTGTAAATAGTGCTGCAGTGAACATAGGGATGCATGTTTCTCCTCGAATTATTGTCCTCTCTTAGGTATCTCTCACAAGGACACAAAAACACTAATTTAGTTTCTTTTCCATGGTCCTACCTTCAAGAACTTTGTAAGAAAGCCATTCCTCACTAGCCACACTTCTGATAAGCCACGTTTTCTCCACTGCTCCTCAAAATCAGTCATTCTGACATCATATACTGAACAAAGTATTGAGACTGTGTTGTTATAACTGTCTGCTTTCTATAGTAGACCTTTCAGTAACTTATATAAATTTGATTAGATTAAAACTATCATTTGTGAGATATGCTACAATCAAAATGAAAGAGGGCTGAGTAGCTTTCACTTCATAATGTAGAGGGCCAGAGTTAACTCATCCATTAAAGGTAAAGGTTTCCATATATCTCCCAAACAGTGGTGCACACTGAAGAATATGCTATACATGTTGCAATGAGACAAATTCTTCTCATTTTCTCTATATTTATGCCCAAGAAAAATGACTGTCCTCAGGCAAAGACCATGACACATGACAACTGTGGAACTGCAGAATTGCAAAAGACCATTGAAAAATGAAAGGAATCCTTTTTCTCATTTCCCTGACAAGCAGTGGACCTCCAGCTGATTCCTTCCAATGATAACATTTAACTATTTTACAAAGCTGCTCACTCCATTTTGGGACTGCTGAATAAGCAGCAGCCCATGTTTTCTCTATCTTTCTCAGTCTCGCCACAGCAGTCTGGAAGGAACTGATAAAGAGGGAAAAAGCAGGTTGCCTTGGATGCAGTTAGGTGGCTTAGCATTCCTAGTTGATTTGTTTAAATTCAAAAGGAAATAAAAACCACACATTAAAAGGACAAATTACAGACACCAAATGTGCTACTTGTGTTTACTAAGCTCCTACTATGTGCCCAGGATAGTGCCAGGAAATTAAAGGTAGCAGAATTCAAAGATGTCATCATAGTCCTCAATTAACTTGAGGTATTATCTAGCCATGATTAAACATATGAAACAAGTTCAAAATTATTTGAACAGATGGTACATATTTAAGATCTAAGTTGGTCATTTAGACTAAATTTTGCAAGAGTAAAATAATTTTCAAAGGGTGATAAGTTTGCAAGAGTCCAGAGGGTAATAAAAAGGGAGACTCTATAAGAATTATCGTGAAGTAGCTATGGCATGGCCATATTTTGGTAGACAAGTGCTATTAAAATGTCATAGGAAACTAAGAATAAATATCTTTTACAATATATCTAGACTAAAGGAAAATTAGATAATGATTCCAAAACACACAAAATAATTATATGTAAGGATTCTGTCATTATTTTTAAAAGTGAAGTTCATAGATGTGGGAAAAGAACACTAAAATATAATCAAATATGAGTAAAGACTGAATAACATCACTGTATCAAAGGTTGATCTAAGAAAACCAAACTCTGCCTCTAACTTGGGGATTTTTTCCAACTGACAGATTGAACAAGTACTGTGCATGTTCTCTTTCAAAGAAGACACAGAATGTTACTAACAAGTTCCTTCTCCTTTCCTCAGTTATCTTTAATATACCCATTATGTACAAATGAAAAGCTCTCATTTGGCTGAGTAGAGTGTAATCTGGGTAGCCTTTTTATATGTACAAATGTCCTTCTCCCTCCTCCCAGAAGATCATAGAGCGCTTTCAGAGATGTACTTAGTCACCTGATTAATTACTGGACTTCTATGTAAATCACTGTCAAGAATAAGATGATTATTTTATCATTTATTGAGTCTGATAAACATTTACAGTTTAACATATCTGACAAAGCCATTTGTATGTCCCTATAATATAAATGAAAGTACATTAAAGTTATGGTAAATCTATAATAATCATAGCCTTAAAATAATTTGCTAACTATAGGCAGTTCCCCAAGCAATTATAAGATGCTCTATGTTAATTTAGAAAGGAATTCCAAACAAGGCATTTAAAACCTAATAAGATGCCATTAAATGAAGGGAGACAAGGGAGGGAGGAAGAGAAAGAAAACCCTAAGGCTTGAACTAGGAGAAATGATTCTCAGAGCTACTGACCCTTGCAAGATCCATGTTTTCCTTGGGTTTCTAGACACAAAGCAGATTTCTAATTGAAGGCGATTATCTAGTTACTACATCCCAAATTGGATGTATTTCTTGTATTGAGTCACATCAACATCTAATTATATAGAGCATTTATCAATTTGAAAGTCCATAGAAATGAGGAGTCAGTCTGCCAACTATATCTTCTCTGTAAACTATGAACCACCAAGCAATCATCTTTAGTGGCAATGATCTGCTTCCTGGCACTCACATGGATTTATAGGCTGAACTATGATGTCAATCAACTGGGAATAAACTTTACAAAGAAATTGCAGGAAAATAGCACCAGGTTTGCTCTGGTTTTCCTGAGGTGTGAATACACAGACATATGCCTGTTATTCCAAAGAAATATACACCGATATAGTCACCATCACCATGAAGGAGAAAAAGAACAACAATATATAATTCTGAAACCTGAAAAGCAAATTCCTATACAACAATTCCTATAGAACACTGAACTTGAGAGTTCAGTGCTTTAATCTGTAGAGGATAGTTTGATCAAGGCAATAAAACAGCAATGAAATACCCAGACATCTGCATGGCACAAATGTACCACTGTAAAATATAATCCCATTAGTTAGGTTAATTAAGATTAACATACAAGTCATTGGAAACCCCCAAAGTAGATAAAAGATAATTTGCCAAGGAAATACACAAAGAGGGAGCAGCATTTGCTTTGAATCATTTGGGTACTAGACTGGAAGGAATATCTTATTAATACTTGGGTTGTCACCATTGATTACCAAGATGACAGGCATATGAACAGCTTACAAAGGCCAAAAGGATAACCTGTTTCCTTAGAAAAGTTCTATGGAACCTTTCTTGTAAAGTGATACACAGAAAAAATATAAGTGCATCTAATCAGATATAATTAATGCTATTAAACAGATTATACATATCCACATATGTGAGAGTTTTAAATTTTGTTTTATTCATATTAATGGACTAGCACTCATCTTGGGAACCTAGGGTTGGCATTTTCATTGACTTAGCAATGTATTTTTACCCCAAATAATAATCTGCATTCCTGGTCAAATGTATGACAAGGAAGCAATCACAGCAAGATACTTACACTGACTTTTGCTGTAGAGAAATTGTATTCCTATTGCTCAGACTGCAATTGTTTAACATTGATCATTGCTGAAAATGTGTTCTCATTCTTACCTCAAGAGTCATGTTCACTGTACTAATGGCCACTTTTATTTCTCCATCTGACAGTTCCTTTAGATCCTTCAGCATTGTCTGTTCAATACTTAAACCTGTGTATAAAAGGGGAAAATAATATGTTACACTTGGGGAACATGTTTTTGGTAATGTCAAGGAATTGCTTAAAGAATGCACCCATTCATTGCAATAGTTTCCCCTCTAATAATGCTTTTTTAGAAAAAAAAGTATAAACTAAAACAAAAATTTCAGTAATGACATTACCTTCATTGGTAAGGATCCTAAAGGAAAGAGAATTCACCCCTCGTGATGCAAGAGTCTTTAATGGGAGGACATTTACAGAGATGTGGTTGGGAGAAAAAAAATTTGTAAAGATGGTGAAGCAGCCAAGACTAGCAAAGGGACAAGGGGGGGAATCCGAGATATGGAACTTTAAGAAGAGCTGCCAAATATAGCATTAAGTTGGGAAGGAGCAGGGACAAAATAATATACTCCTTTTCTCCACCCTTAGCACCCCCCCTCCATGTGTTGCTTCCCATTGACCAAACCCAACTAGAAGCCAGTTATCTTCAAGGGAATCCAGAATATTAAATATTTAAAGGCCAGTCTCTGGAGGATATATAAAATGGGAAGAGGTGGGAAAATGAAGAAAACCTAGCATAACTATACAAACCAGACAAATAATATCAACATGGGCAAAATTTACTTTCAGGATGTACTTAGGTGAGCCCATAAAATTTAGTTAAAATGCACTTACAAGTGTGATCATAAAACTATCATAATTGGGCTGTTCTGATCACTGTTGTAATAGGCTCTGTCAAGAGGATCTATAGATTCCTTAAATGATCAGAAGAATAGTTTCCATAATGACAGAAATTATTCAGATTCACACGGTTTTAGTCAGCTGACCAATGGACTTCATTAAATCAATCATAAAACCAGGTAATTCTTACCCTAGGTTATTGCATTTGATGAAGAATAATTTCTTGGGAAGAAGCCCAGTAAAGCACATATATCCTTTCTAGATGTATGTTAAGATATCAGAGACAGAGAACACTGTCAATCATGGGGAGACAGATAAGAACTATGATTTTTCTCTCTGACATGAAAATTGAAAGGCCTCTATCATATTAGCATAAAATGCATAAAATGATTTATAGAATACATATGACATTAAAAGTTTGGCCTGTCTTTGAAAATGAATGACAAAATGCATTCCATCACACAACATCCACACATGTGCACAAGTAACAGATGTGGTCTATGCAGTCAGAGCACTACCCAAATTTCTTCAGACTTTCCCATCTCCATCTGCCCCCACATGCCACTCAGTGACTACACCTGCATCTCTTATCCTAAGGGCTTTCTCTGGCCACCAAAGCCTGCTCTGGGGAAATTAACAGCCTCTGAGATTAAGTAGCTCTCCATATTCCTGTGTGTAACATACAAGGAAATGTTTAACGAAAAGCAACAAAATCTGATTTGAAGTGTTTGCCAATTTCTATGGTGTCAATACATATATGGTGACTAATTTCAAGGTACCAATCAAACATCAACCAACTCACAAGAGTCCTGAAAGTTTAACAATCAGCTTTTGAAGCTCAGGTGAAAAAGTTTCAAAGCACCTCTGGATGCCTCAGATGTTAAAGCATGAAGTACAATCTTACACTCTTCCTCAATGCCTGGTATTCTACAGAGCTGATTTTCTTGATGAAACACAGTATACTGTATCAGTGCTTCCTGAAATCAACTCCCAAATAAACTTTGCTTCAGGCTCTGCCCCTGGGAGATCTCAAGCTAAGAAAGAAAGCTATTCATCTTAAAGATAGATTATCTGAGTTTCAGTCCTGACCTGGCCATAGTCTGGCTGTGTGTGTGATGGTGGGAAAGCAAAGACACCATTCTGTGCTTCTGTGGTCTCAACTGGAAAGGGGGGGGGGTCATAGAAATTGCTGATATATGATTATTGAGAGAACAGAATAAGATCATTCAGGTGAAGATATACCATTGGAACCTTATATAGTACATCAGGTATTCAATGAATTATAACTATTTATTATTAAGTCCTCAATCCAGAAAATCCACTGTTTCCTAAAGCCTGGATTTAGAAAACAATTTTACCTGCTTAACAGTCCCTTTCTTACTAAAATTAATTGATTTATGAAACCCAACTGTATTGCTGCTGCCATACTCTCAAAATAGAACCCTCTCAGCACAGGGATTTCAGGTAATGATGCATCTGTGGTATGCATTAGGCAGGTGAATTAACCACACATCCTGATACAAAGACCTCAGAGGAAAGGCAATAGTACAGGCTGCCTGCTTCCAGGTGAGGCAACATCATGTGCCTGAAAATCTCCTATTAGCAGAAACAACAGGGAGGAAAAAGTAGACACACTGAAATTCACCTTCTGGGGCCAGGCAACTCTGCATTCACATGAAGCAGCCTCACTCCAGGAACTGTGAACTTGCTGGGGACAGAATCACTCACCCTGAGCACTGTATTGGGTCTCCTGCAAGATGCTGATTATGTCTTCTCTTGGAGGCAAGCTAGGAAATTTTTCCTCCAGGATAGAAAGAATTTCTTCCTGCTTCTCTGAGAACTTCTCGGATTCCATGGTCATCCACTTGAAAAGGATGCTACCTGAAAGGTATGAATAAAATGCTTTAAGCATTCCAGCAAGTCAGGGGAAGAGCTAGAAAAATCAGTGTTTTCTGGACTCTGCATCTTTGCTTCCCTTTCCATATCGTGCCTGAACCAGTGGCCTCCACAGTGCTGGAGTCAAGAGGAAATTTTTAGAAAACCGTCAGATACCACCTGCCTAGCTCCACTGTTCTTGTATTACCCTCTACCACTTACCTGACTATATAGCATATTCTATGGCATAGCATTTATGGATAAAGGAACAGGATGTATAGCTTTTCCCATGAAAATGATATAGGTTGGTTAGAAATGATTTCAAAATGGAAGTTAATGGTGTGGTTTTAAAATATTAAATACTGCTTAATATTTCCCTTTAATATTCCCTTTAAGACACCATAGAGAACCCTATTCCTACATATCACCTTATTCATTTCACATGTAAAATTTTTCCCATTAATTATATTTTCATTTATTTTTGATTAAATAACATGCATTATAACAATGTAAGTTTCAGCAGTGCATCATTAAAAAATCGGCTTGTGCATGTGCGTATATGTGTGTGTATATGTATATACATATATATATATATACATACATAGATTGATTGATAGATATATCAATGAACTTCTTTTTAACAACCAAAGGATGGCAGAGTTCTGCTGTCAGCAGCCAACGACCCTGAGAAGGTGGTGAAACCCAATTCTCAATGAGTCTCAATTATGAACATCTAAAACTTACATAACCTTATAATGCAATATTAGTGCAAAAATATTAAAATTTTAATAACAAAACAATTAGGAAAGAACCTTCCACATACAGAGTAAACTAAGCAAGGCCCATTGGGAGGATTAGCTAGGTGGATAAGTTAGATGAAAAATGAGGAAGGCGCTATCAATATACAAAAACAATGAGTGGATTCAAAGCAAATTATCATTCAAATGTTGTGAGAAGCCAACTGGATTCTGAGTATGCCCTTCAAAATCACAATTTCTGACATAAAACACAAAATACAAAGGCAGTTTTTCCATTCTTTGTTAAGGCAATGGTGAATCTGGATTTCATAGAAGATTTCCATATCCTTCTGGTTCTGATAGACTGCTTATACCAAGAACAAGGAGAAAAGGTAGGAAGAATACAAAACAACAAAGATAAACTCTGTGAAGCATCAGAGTTAACAAGGTAACTATTTTAGTAGTCAAGATTCTGGAGAGAAGGTTAAGTGTAAAAAGGTAAACCCAACATTTGGCATTGATTTTCTCCTCAGGGAAATCATATAATTGCTAATCATAAGCTATAGCCAATTTGCTGAGAAGGTTAGCAGACCTAATAATAGTTTCATTAACACAGGAGGATAAAAATTGGAGTTTAGGGCTTTCAACAGAGAAGGCACCTTGGTTAAACAGTCCAGGTTTTGAGGTGGTAACCCTGGCATAGAGGTTGGAAAAGTAAGGTATGTAGGACAAATCGGACCTATGACTTGGATTTACACATAACATTTTGTTGGAGCACAACCACACCCAATAATTGACACGTTGTTTATGGTTTGATTCAGTATAAACACAGACTAGATTAAGTTTGTCTGAATCTCTTCTAATTGCTTTTGAAGTGCAAAAGTAAGTTCCCTCTAAAGCAAAGGCTTTGATCATCCATGCCATCCATTCCACACTTTTCATATATAATATTTAGGACTTAACAAAAAAATTATCAGGCGTAAAGAAAATGTGACCAAATGAAAAGATACTCCAGAAGAAAAGTCTCATGAGGAAAAATAAAATACAAACAAAACCAGAAGGAATAAAAATATCAGCTAGAGATGTAGAACCTATAAAAAATACTCAAATGAAATTTTAAAAGTATAAATTAAATAACTGAATTTAAAAACTCAAAATGTGTTCACAATACATTAGATACACTGAGAGAAAGATGAGTAAATTGGAAAGTACATCAGAAGAAAATATCCATACTGAAGCATAGCTAGGAAAAGGGATGAGAGATCAGAGTTGAGCCCAAAAGCTGTGGGGGGTGCACAGCAAAGGTCTAACATACATGCAACCAGGGGCCCCTGGGCGAGCAGAGAGAGAATTGGACTGAAACAGTATTCGAAAATGTAATGGCCAATCATTTTTCAAAATTAATGGAAGATATTACTCTAACATTCAAGATAAAGTGAGATGGGGGCTTCCTGGATGTACCTGCTCCTCTCCCCTTGCACAGTCTTGAAAACAAGAACATTAACAATAGTGCATACAAATCATAGTAACGATTAACAGCAAATCATTACTTACTCTTTGTCCCTAGTCACTTCTTTGTTTTAGTCAACTGTCTTATCCATCCAGTGACTCCAAAGCAGAAAGAAGCATTGCTGGCCCACAAACAGGACCTGTCAAGCCAGGGTAGTTCCTGCATCTTGAGAAGAACCCTGTACTTACTTCGATCTTATCCTCATTATATCCTAAGATCTCCGCCTCTGGGTGGAATCTGTCCTCCATTTTCTCAACATGTGACACATGAAGAAGAATTTTCTCTGACTGCAACTGCACAAGGCTGCCCTAAACCTTCTCCTTCTCCCTGCATTTAGAGTAACATCATCCGTGGTGATAGGACCCTTGTGGCCTATATTAGGGGGAGGGTGTTGTCCCTCAGACACTCACCCTTGAGGTCTCTCTGGAGCATTCTGTCACTCTATCACTTCAACAAATCTCAGCTTCAAAATCAGGTTAGAGTCATCATTTATTCTTGAGTGTGGAACTCAAGAACCTACTTCCAGTGGCCGATAACAAAAGTGTGAATCAAATCAGAGCAAATGCAAAGAAAAATGCCTCTAGGCACAAGGCAGTAAAACTGCTAAAAATTAGAGAAGGAAAATAATTGAACTCAGAGAAAACAAGACATAGTACTGTTAAGGGAACTATAAGAAAGCTAGTGTTGGCCTGATTTAAATGAAGAAAGTCAGAAGACAATAGAATTCTATCTTCAAAGAAATAATTGGCAAGTCACTCAATACTGAGTGAAACATTTGTTTTTTTTTTTTTTTGTTTTTTTTTTTTAATGAAGGCAGAACAAAGACATTTCCAGAAAAATAAATTGGGAGAATTTGTCACAAGAAGATCTACAATAAAAGAAATGGTAAGGCAAGAGGAAATAGTTACAGATGGAAGCAGAGAAATGCAGGAAAGGAAGAGGAACATTGGAGAATGTAAACATGTGTGTAAGAATAAATCAATGTTTACTGCACAAAATAATGATATAATATCTAACGGAGTTTTAAAATTATGCTTAGAGAAATAAGGGAGACAGAGAAGACACTTGTTTAGTCTAAAATGATTTCACTCTTATGTGGCATATAAAGAAAACAAACACATGAACAAATAAAACAAAAATAAATTTTTGGACTATGAGACCAATTAGTGGTGACCAGAAGAGAAGGGGGGTAGTAGGTGGGGAAGTGGGGAAAAGGGCACAATTAAGAAGTGAGGAATAGAATTGGCCTTTAGCTATGAGCTTAATGTAATATATTGATTCTCAATGTTACACACCTGAAAGTTATATAATGCTATGATGCAAAGTTATATAATGTTATATTGCAATAAAAAATTAGTAAAAATAAAATCAAAGAAACAGGAATAAATATTTTAAAAATAAAAGTCTAATTAAAATGCATTTTAATGGCAAAAAATTACAAAAGGGATTAACTAGAGATAAATTGCTCTAAGGTTCTTGGTAAGTCTATTGTAACTGTAAGAATAATTTTTTTCAAAGATTTCATAACTAACAAGCTAATGGAGGGGAGAAACGTAGCAGCAAAAATACTTAGTTAAATAGTAAAAAAGAATTTAAGAGAAAAAGTGGGGAAGATATATCAATCCTAAATTTGTATGCACTAACAAGACAGCTTCTAAATATATAAAGGAAAATTAACAAAGTTGGATGAAGACAGGGATAAATGCACAGCAAAAGTGGGAAATCTTAAATCTCAGTAACATCTCAAGAATGAGGTCTGTAAAGAGGCAGACTATATAAACAATATGTTATCACACTTGACTTACTGGCATGTATTAATGTTATAAACAATGACAGACTCTACTCTTTTTTAGGAAAATGAAACATATACCTAACTGACCATCTGTGAAAGCATAAGTTAATTCTTAAATTTCAAAGGATAGCAATCAGAGGTTTGCATTCTGTGGCCACCATGAAAATAGTATGAAAAAACAACAATAAAACAAAGAGTAGAAAATTCCCAAATGTTTGAAAATTAAATAATGTACTTCTAGGGCCTCCCCGGTGGCGCAGCGGTTGAGCGCTGGGTTGCGAAGCTGCCCGCAGCCTCTGCAGCGCCGGTTCAATCCCCAGCTGCTCCCCGGCCACTGGAGGAGGGTCCCACATGGTGCGCAGACATCTCCTGCCGCCCGCTGCTCCCCTCTGCCTGCTCTGATCCCCGCTCTGGCTCTGGTGAATTCTCTCACCCTCCCACGCTTCTGACTGTACCCAGTGCTTGTATAAATAAATAAATAAACAAACAAACAAATAAATAAATAAGTCTTCCACAAAAAAAAAATAAATAAATAAATAATGTACTTCTAAATAGCTTATGGTAGAAGAAGAAATCACAATGTGGAGTATTTTTTAACTAATTCTACATTTAAACTTGTAGGATACAGCTAAGGCTTGCTCTGAAGAAATTCTATAAATTTAAAAGCTATTTTTAAAAACTCAGAAAATTCAACTAGAAAATGTGAAAGGAAAGATATAATAAAGATGAAAACAAACTTGAAGACATAGGAAACAACCATAAATGAAGAAATTAATTAATTACTAATAAATCAATCATAAAATTACTTGAAAAGATTAAATAGTTTCTAAAACTGCTCAAGTTAAAAAAGAGAAAGAATAGTGAGAGAATTATTTACCAATATTGGGAACAAAACAGCAACATACTACTGATTCTACTGACATTAAAAGATAAAGAACAAATTCAATAGATTTCAAAATTTACAGGA